TTATCAAGGGCAAAAAGGCAGAAAAAAGGAGGAAAATGTGGGTACCAGTGAGCCGTATATACATAAAAACTTGAATTTTGATGTATAAATTCCACAAGATTCAAAGAATTTCACATTTAAAACAAAAAAAGATCAAATATATGCAAAAAATTGGAAAAAAGTGGGCACTTTGAAGAGTAAAATCCAAAATTTGCATTTTCAAAAATTTGGAACACCCCAACAGGGGTAGTTGAGAAGAGGTGATTGGCACTGTACAGAGAGGCTTTATCAAGCATCTCAGCAGATCTTCAGCCGGCTAATAATGTATGGAAACCATACGTACATAGCTGGGGTATTGTAATGGACAAGATGTGTACGGTTGTTGACTTTTTTTTGCGGGGAGCGGTGCCTCTGGAGTCTGGGGAGAAGGAGGGGTGGGTGGCGAGGTGGGTACGGGGGAAGCCGAAGGACTGCGCCGGCGACTGCCGGTGGTCTAGTCGACCACAGGATCAATGTACATATTTTTGTAACAGAATCCGATTTTCCTGAAATTCTCTCATGAAGGACAGGGGCGATGCCTGTCGATGCGAAAGATATATGTATAGAGATTGTAAAACAACAACAACAGCAGCATCGCATTTTACACTGCCCCCCCTCTTCTACATTGTATGTTGAGAATGGGATGGATGGTGGTGTGAGTTCTCATGAGGTCGATCAAGCCGGTTACCACCCAAGAAGTCGCGGCACGCCGGGCGGTGAGAAGATCTCGAAGAGGAGGCCGAAAGCTTGAGCCAGACGAGGTTCGGATGGATTCGGTGGTGTCAAGAGATGTTCTGGAAAAAAGCCAACCTTAATAAAAGAGAGTGCTTTACATTGTAGAACCCAACTCAACCGTGTCCTGAATTCTGCCTTCTTCTTCTTCTTCTCCTTCTCTCTGCTGATGCCAAGCTTTGATTAGAGAACGGGGAGTCTTGGCACTTGTAGCCAATCAGCAATCCAAGCTGGTTATGTCCTTCAGGCTTCTTCTTGGTCTTCCTTCGATAGCCTGGTGATTGCAGAGTGACTCATCAGCTCAGAAGTTCTTGGAACTCTTCTTCAGTCGGACCAAGCCCGCTCCCGGATCGCCCCGCAGTCTTGGGTGCTCTCAGCATGGCTGGAGTCTAGACCCACCAAACTCAAAATAAATAAAAACCCAGCACTCCTACACATATAAATAGAACTACCCTCTCCCTCCCTCCCTCCATCCATCCATCAGTCCATCCTACTACCACCACCATGTCCAACACCTCCTCCCTGGCTAGTGCCAGTTCACCCTCGATCGAAAACGAACCCAGCAAACCAACCCGCCATCGAGTTACCCGAGCCTGCGACGCCTGTCGGAAGAATAAAGTGCATACATACATCATCCTCATACAACATTAGAACTTCTCCTCCATAAAAAAAAACAAATCATACATCATTACTCACCCTCCCTCACTCCCCCCCTCCTTACCTTACAGGTCAAGTGTCCCCTCAACGACTCTGGCTCATGCCAAAACTGCATCAAGGCCTCTCGACCTTGCACCTTCGAAAACGTTGGCGTCAGGAGAGAGAAACCACCATCGAAACAGTGAGTGCACTTCTGAATATTGTAATATCTATCACTTCCAAACTTCATCTGAGCACCTCCCCACTTAGTGATATCCAACAGCTCAACTCTCGAATTCAAACCCTCGAGAAACTCTTGACCGTCCTGGCCCCCAATCTAGACCTCAAATCACTTCCAAGGACCCCCGAACAAGCTCGCGGGATCGTCAACCAGTCGCGTATCCAGTCTAGTCGAACCAATTCCATCAGGGAAACCCCTCCGGCCTCTCGACCCAACGACCTATCCGACCCAGATGACGTGTTTTCGGCAATTCGGCTCTTGAATGACTTACAGATCGGCCCACCCGATCATCTACCTCCAGAACCAGTCCCATCCTCTTCATCCCATTCACCACATTCCCTGCCCTCCTCTCCCCCACAAAACCAACAGGACCAAGACTCCAAACCTTCTTATACTCGTGCGGTCACCCAGATGTGGGTCGAGCGATTCGTCCCACTCCACCATCTCCCAAACTTTCAGTTACCCCCACAACAGCTGGCTATCACCTTAATCTCACTCTTCTTCGAAAAAGTCAACCCATTCGAAAACATCCTCCATCGTGCCGAATTTATGCGGCTCTATGAAACCGATCTGATTCATACCGATCGATCCTTCCAGGCACTCTGTTTTGCCCTCTTTGCCGCCGGTTCCACCTTCTCCTCTGACCCTTCTGTCATGTTACCCGCCCACGATGGCACACCTAATCGACAGACGGCTGGGGCTACCTTCTTATATGCCAGCCTCAGCTTGGTCTGTCCGGCTCATCTACCCACCTGCACACTCTTCGATCTCCAAACAATGGCAGTACTCTGTCATGTCACCTCGATCATATGCAGTCCACTGACAGTATGGTCTTGGCTCGGCCTTCACCTTCGCAGAGGTCAGTCGTCCAATTTCAACCATACAACCTCCCCATCTCATCGGCTCCTGCCAACCCCTCCCCCCCAAAAAAAACCACTGTATCTTTCTGGTTTACTGAATGATTTGTTCTTAATCTCAAGCCAGTTCAGAATGCCTCAGCTCATCGGAACAGTGCCCCACAATGGAAGACGTCATTGATGAAAGACCAATTACGGAAACGCGCAGTATGGTATCTTGCCGTACAGGAGCTCTCCTTCTCCCTAATCCTCGGCCGAACTTCCTGCATCAAATCTGACACGATTGACTTAGGTTTGTCATCCAAATCCGCAGGAGGAGTTTCCCCACATCTATATACCCACTTTTGTTTAGATTCACACTGGGCAACGGCATGCATACTGATTATCTTCCCCCCTTTGTTTTCCTGATGGGTTCAACCTACCTCCTATTTTCAGATCTTCCCCTCCCATTAGCTGATGATGCACTGAGCAGATACTGCTCAGACCAACATCAAACACGTCCCACTTGGAACCTGAAACGCGATTGCTACTCTCATCCTCCTCCTCTCGTCCACGGGCACCGGCCGATTTTCCGATCATCTTTCATCGAAAGTTTGGGATTGCTCTCCAAAAATTGTTTGCGGTCAGGATGAATCCCAGTTCCAGAATTGGCGAAAGAGATAAAGATGCAATTGTCGCGTTGGCCCAAGAGATCGAAAATTGTTTTCGAGAATCTTCACTTCACCAGCCCTGGGATCCCACCATTTCGGACACTGTCACCTTGGTCTCGGCCGCCAAGCGCACCTGGTCAGGGCGCATCTTCTTCTCATAGATTATTCTCTCGATCCCTTTCAACTTACCTTTTACCGTTGGAATGTACAGCATCCATCTTACATATCGAATTCTGCTCCGTCGGTTGTTGATTTTCGAGGAACCCGATGAGCTCTAGTTATGCTTTCAAGCCGCCAATGAGCTGATCAATGTTTTGGATCATCTGAGAACCCGTGGCGCGTTCGAACATACCGCCTCCTGGGCTCCTTACACAGTACGTCGTCTGCGGCCCTCCCTCAGCCCCCCTCCCCACCTCTACAACAGAATCATGTTCACTGAGAAGAATCCATCATCTCCTACAGACCGTTCCTGCAACTTCGATGCAATTGTACATCGCCTGTAACGCGTGCGATGGAATCTCGGCCGCCAATCGTGCAAACGCTTGGGTGGGCGTCCATCGTTGCATCAGTGTTCTTACTACCCTTGCCCCCATGTAAGCTTTCAAAATTCCCCCCTCTTTTGGGAGCACAGCAGATTTTGTAGATATATGGTGACTGATCGTACATGGGATGCAGATCATCTTTGGCGGGTCAATTACAGAAGAGACTAGAGCAAGTTCTTCAGGCATGTGTGACGAATGAATTGTTCCCAACGGCGGACGAAGGGATAGGGCATGGGCAGCACAAGCGAGATGCGACGGAGGTATTGACGAACGAGGAAGTTGCGGGCGGGTTTTCGGGGCAAGGGGGAGGCAAGCGAGCCAGTACTCGACCGCTGAACCAGCCGTCGGCAGCTCCGCCGTTCGCCTTTCCCGACGGCCTGCCGCCCTCCTTCCCGATCGCCAATCACCCCGGCTCGCTCGACGACGGCTCGGTTGGCCAACCCTGCTTCCGGAACCCTTGGTCTCAGTTCGACGCCTCCCTCTTTCACCATCTCGTTAGACCTCCTAAATCCCCCTCCGACCTCCCCCACTCGATCCCGCCGCTTGGAATCCGCCCGCGTTTTCTAACCCCACTGATCCCCCGCCGCTCAATAGCTCCCCTTTT